AATTTCGTTTAAGGTGATGAAGGACTGGTGGAAGAAGAATTTCCCCACAATGATATGAGTTGAGCTGACGCTTCCATTTAATTTCACATAGCCTTGGTCTTGGTTGTCAATTTTATTAAGTCAGGAAAGAACGTTTTATTTGTAGCCAAAATAAGTAGGTTTTCGAGGCAATCATAAGAGTTTTAAATGTTATCAAGTCACAAAATGATAAGTACCGATTGTTAATTGTCTCATAAAAATACGTCTAGGCCTCACGATATCACTTTACCCTGTTTCTCAAAAGTTATTCTTATCTGGGGTGGATTGCAGTCTCGACTCCGGACGAGAATTGAACTAGAGTCGTGAGCGTAAAGTTTCAAAACGCTACAAACCGCTATACAGCCAATATTGTCATATGGTCACAGGGCCGATGTGAATATGAATATGTGAGTCGACTTTTCACTGCCAAGGAACAGTCGGTGGGACAGGATTAGTAAATTGGAGGGGAGATCTTTGGATTGTGCGACTCCGATGAATTCGGGCCAAGTTTTTATCTATCCTATGGCGGACATCATGCAAACGAGAAACCATCATTTACGCTAAAGCCCATTAAATACAATAAGCCAATAAAAATGAATGGAAGGCTGCAAACACATTCACTTGATATACCCAACTTTGCGATCCCAATCTGACATCCCATGATTGGGTTGGCTATTTCATGCCTGTCCTACATTGTTAAAGACGAGGGCGTTGATGCACAATAAGGAAGTGGATGTAGTAACCGCTGTTTCTATGCCTAAATAAACTAGCGTTTGATCCTGCAATTGTGACGTATCTTAAGGCATACGTTATTAAGCATCGTGTATATGCAATTTCAAAGTGTGAGAGCTCTCATAAGATTAGAAGCTATTCAAGCCCCACACTCTTGTTCAAATTTTATTTCTGTTCCCCTTCTTTCCGTATCTCTCTAAGCCCATCCAACTAACGCATATTTCTGTAGACTCCCAAATCCGCAACTTATATGTCAGATCCCCATAGCACACAAAACGCTGTGCTGTCAACTGTTCTATTTCGTATCCTATCGTAACCACTGGTTCAGCCAGATGAGATTTTTGGACCCATTAATCCCTGTAAACGGTTGTGTCTCGGCAGGTCTCCCTCACACAGAATCTAACGGAGAAGCGCAAACAAATTTAGCATCCTGATCTAGAAAGAAGGTCCGAAAATGCTTAAAAAGAGGGATAATTTTTGCTTCATGTTGAACCCAATTCTCATTTTCCACTTTCTCATTAGTTTACATAAAATTGATCGAAAGCTGACAGAATGGCAATATGAGGAGCGGAGTAAACTGGTTCATCTGCCTTTCCAGTCCTAAATAGCTATTCCCCTACACAAACTTTATGAATCATGAAAAGTAATTGTATTTTAATTCTAGTGGATAAATATTTTTAACTGAAAAGAAAGAGTCTTTAATTGCCTTGAGTCTAATTGACACTTTCACGTTTCACATGTCTTGAATATTGAATACACACAATGCACAATACCACATTCATAAATATGCGTTAAAAGTGCGCAAAAAGTGGAAAGTAAACAGATATCATGCAGTTCATTTCCCGTTCATACAAGATTGTCTGTTAGGCATGAAATAGCCAACCAAATTATGAGATGCCTCAATTGGACTACAAAGTTAGGCAGAAGTGAGTGTGATTGAGGTGATCCACCCTTAGTTTCTTGGCTCATCGTATTTGGTGTGTTTTTTCGTAAAGTATGGTTTTTCGCCCTTACGATGCCTGTGATGTGAGATACACAGGTGAGCCAAGGAAGTCTTCGCACAATGAAACCATCTACAAACCATGGCAATTCTACTTCAATTAACGAATTTTTTCTAACTAACTTTTCCTCCAGATTCAAAAGCCGACTCATCTTAAATTATTGGTGTACCCCTCGAGAACCAGTTTTTTTCATACCTTCAGGAATAACAAGACCTTTCATATATAACATTTTAATGGGATTAAATTTAATGCGGGTAGGCATTTGGACTATCGGAACATAAGCAAGGTCATCTACTGTGATGGCAAAGAGAAGATTTTTTCCTCGAGAATCCTAGAATAAGTGTGAGTTTTTAGAAATTCGGCATGTCTTTGAAAGCTTATTTGCCGTATCACCCCTGGCAGCCTTGGCAACTTATCGAGACCTTACGGGAAAAAAACCTGGGGTCCATTCTCGCTTGGAATCGAAAATGAGGTCCAACTTGGATGAGAATGCCCGTTGAGAGGCAGGGCTAAGCATAATTCAATAGAATAGTGTGGATTACCCAAGTTACTGTGAGAAAAACGTAACTATCAGTCCGTAACCACTTTAGGCTACCATGGAATAACAAAGCTTGTTCACAATTTATGGAGAAAAGATTGTTTGATTATGTATTCCACATCCTGAAGAGAAAAAAATGCTTGTCTCTTACTTGGTTTCATGTCACCAAACGCCTCCAGAAGCCCTCTTTCCGGCGACCTCCTCTTTTCGCCTGGTCTCTTCGGGCGAGCACTTGATCCCTTATTGCCAGGCTGCATACTGCGTGTGTCCGGCTCCATCGTTCTCTGGTTTGACCGTCGCATATCATCACCGAGATGAAGGTCGCCTTTTTCGTAGCCAGCCTCATCCGGGCGTCTGGACAGGGCGTCTTGGCGACCCTTGTCTGAGTCACCTTTCGCGTCCGGTACCCCTCTTCCACGTCGACGATAGCCACCTCTGGCGGCCTCAGCCGCCGGCCAGTCAGGCTCCGGAACGCTTTTGGCGTCAACCTGTTTCGCCGCCGCCTCCGGGTCGCCCGCGATCGGACGGTACCGGTGCCGGCGCCCTGGATCCTGGCTCTTGGAACCGGTTTCCGCAGGCTCCAGCTCTCGAGGTCGACTCGATAAACCCGACTCGGCCGTCTCACGGGCTTTTGCTCGAGACCAAGCGGCCCCCGAGAGCGGCTCTCCACCCGAAGTCGGCTGGCGACCAGACTGCCTGGAAGGCTGAGTGCTATTCGGCGTCGCAGGAAAGCGGCCAGTTTCAGCAAAGTCTGGATCTGTCCGTTCGAGTGTTGGTATGCACGTAAGTTTATGTACTCGAACTAATTAAGACAGACAAGTGCCAAACACTGAATGGTAGATGTTTTTAGCGCCCATTTGTATATCGCCATCGGATGTCCAAATGTTACCAAGATGAATCATTTGCCTAACCTAGTCGTATTCCCAGGACGATTTAAACAGGACATACCCCGTACCGCTCCCTCTTCCAGTATTGGCATGCTTTCTTACAGCTTCTGACCATCGACTAGCTACATTTGCGTTTATTTCTTCAACATCGTCATGGCTTTGCTCCGACCTAACAACAGCAAAGTGACGAGCGAACAAATCTCAGTAGAAGGAAGTGACTTTACTTTCATAGGACAACAAAGATGAAAGACACTCCGATCTTTGATCTCTACCTAAAAATTTAGTCAAGGTTCTAAAACGAAGTTTAACTAAGTTAATACGGCGAAGGGAGACAAAGGACCACACGTCTTAATCACTTTCTTTTAGTAGCCATTCAGTGATAGAGAATTGATTCATCCTCAATTAAAAATAGGGCTTCACATTTAACTTAGTTTCATCTTAAATCCCAGCAGCAGATTCGACCTCGTCTCGGCGAAGCTTGAACGAGCAGCATTCGAAGGTAGAGATATGCACGTGTCCATACTATCATAGTCCGTGTATGATTTTCTATGCAGAGTGAGTGACGCATGAAAGTGAGACGTCCTGCCAAATGGGTCTCCGCAAATGAACGCCGAGCCGTTACTATTCAATGAACGTATGCTGCAATTGGCGTAAGCCGTGAGCGCATTCTTAAAACTGCGAATAAATATTCAAGATTTGCCGTTGGTGTTACTAATATTTGCATCATAAAAACTATCTATCGCTGTCAATCACCATTTTGTTTTATCCATCCCATGTGGATAATTCACCGTAATCTGTGTCGCCAGGTGTAATAACGATGATCTTGAAAGATTTCACTCGTTTTAGAGATGTCAACTTGTAGTGGTTTTTGCATTTAAATATTAGCGATTCTATCCTTGATCAAGTAAAAAGAATGCTTGAATTTTGTATCCATCACAAGAGACTGTCCTCATCCAGGCTGGAATATAATTCCAACTTAGCTTTAACGTCGTACTCCCATTCTCAACCCGATTCGAACTATATACGAATGGTAGGTAGAAAAACTGGATTTCGAAGAATCTCTTAATGAATTGAGGTTGGAATACCATCGACTTCGTTTGAAGAGGCGAATCGAAGGGAGACTACTTTGGAGCTGTGCTTGTGGTCACCATGCTAAACTTAGGATTTATGAAGTCTAGAAAAATAAAGAGCCTGCGTCTGGCAGATGTTAAGCATCGGTACCAGGAATTCAGAGGATTAAGGAGAATTATGGTTAAAAACAATTATCTACAAGGACTAGTTGACAATTATTTTAGAATATTGTCAAACAAGATTGAGATAAATACATATTTAGGCTAGATAAAAAGTCAGATCAGTCTACCAGAATCCTTACGCTGCCATCGTGTAACCTGTAACGTTTCCATTGAATTTCACATAGCCTTGCTCTCCCAAAAGGAGTTATCATCCAGGCTTAAGTGGACTGCGGTTTCAACCCCATCCGGGTCTTATTAACATCCCAAGCGAGAGTCGAACTATGATAGTGCATAATATAATCTCGACATGTTAACCACGACGCCACATTATTACAAGTACCCTTGAGTCACAGGGCAGATGTGAATTTCAATGAAGGCCAGGTCCGTCATAATCCTAAACGAAATAGAGTGAGTGCATTTCATATATTTAATTTTATAGTAGTTTCGAAAACCTATTCAAAACGAAAAAATAAGTAATATTGTCGATTGCTATATCAAATATATGTTCGCTTTATCGACAATCGCATTACAGAATGTGATATTGGAAAGTGTCCGGCCTTCCTTGAAATTCACATCTGTCCTGTGACTCGAGGGCACTCGTGGCAATATGACTCTGGATGAGAATACTTTTTGGAAAAGCATGGCAATGAAAACGTAAGGTCTACTTACATCATTGTTGGAAAATTCAACATAATCTTAAACGTAGTGGAGTAAACACATTTCACATATCTGATTTACTGGTAGTCTCGAAAACCAACTCGAAACATAAAGTGAGATGAAGCTCTAAAGATGCTCGTTCAGTGAGATAGCAACCAAGGCTCAATTAGTTTTCACCGGAAGCGAAGAAGAGTATTTCGTAGACTGAATCAACAAAGTCGGCTTTTGGTAAAATAGCCTACGAATCTCTTTAGTAGACTTCACTTAGAATGAGTCTTCACAAAAATGAGTTCACGTGTGCAAATAGAGCAGAAAACAACTTAATACGCCTAAAAGTCGCCGTAAGCCAAATCAAGTGCAAAAACATTTTATGAATTTCGAGGTGTGACCGAGGGGAATAGTATTAAGTGTATCAAACTAAGCATTCATGCCTGTAACCAAACGAATTTCTCGACTTTAAGCCGCAACATAGAGCATCATAATTTGCTTACCCAAAGAGGATGAGATTGATGGCTTCCTGCCGGCTAGCAGACTGTGATTCTGTGAAGGCATTGAAGACGGCTTTCTTTAATGACAGTTAGTTCGGATGTTATAGGCTCACTTTTGAGGCACAGGTTGATTCTCTTGCGCTCACTTCCATTCTGAGTGTAAGTGTGTATTATGAAACGATTCGAAGGTAGATCCCACAAGAAGATGATAGAGGATTTCTATT